AAAGAGGGATTCAATAAGGCCCATTGGCTGAGCTGGTTATCCGGACACAAAGAGATAACTAGGTGTGTGTCTGTTTCGTGTGAACTCGGCGACAAAACACACAAAAATACATTTTGATCCACAGAAAGGGTCAGGTTGGGAGATGAGAGGAGCAAATGAAACATCACAGAGACTCGAGCCTTGCAGGGACACGGGGACGCTATAAAACCACTCAGTCAGACAATAAATGGAACAAAGATGCTATAATGCAGCCAACTCCAACATCTGACGAAACAGAGAGTGTGTAAACAGTTCGAAGGACTGGGCAAGAAGATTTCCCTAAACTCCAACACTTGGAAGATATCATGAAATGACTGCAGGAGAATCAGAAGGATTCAGGGAATAATTTATAGAGAAGAAATTCTTACAGTTAAATACTTAGTAAATTATCCTTTTGAAATTGTTTGTAAGTGATGGCAAATTTTAAAGAGATTTAAACAGTCTTGCTCACCCGAAATGCAGCTGTCTTTGGTTGCATATGCAGGGAGTCCTTCATCTCGGTTTTTCTGAACCTGTAATAAAACAATCAACTTGTTTTTATTTACATGCTGTGTAAAAATCAACACAATGCAGAAAGGCTTCATTTTTTTAGATATTGTTTCCCTTGGTCTAATTAATCCCTTGAATGAATTAGATTGAGGGGCTATTTTAGTGCTTATATCTTGAAAAATACAAAAAAAAACTCTTAAAAAATATGTATAAAATTATATTAAAAAAATATATATAAATATATATATATATATATTTACACATTTTTTAAATATCATTATCATCTAAATATTTATGTTGTTTTCACATGCTGAACCTTATTGCTTCAAATGAATAATAAAATGCAAAAAATAATGTGTCAGTGCTTATTATTCATTTTAAGTTAAAAGGTTGAAGTTTATTCCTGTTTATTGTTTTCTAAATATATTTTCTTATTAAATTGATGTACATGTATGAGAAATGCAATAGCACAACTTCATGATAAAGCAGCGTAAAAGTCATTATAACTGCTGCTCCTTCCTCTTGCTGGAGACCCAGTAATGTGGGAGTCAGAAGGTTAAAGATTAGAGCTGCCCTAACAGGTTGAGGCGACAGGGAGAGAACAAACACTCCGTGTCCATTAAACAATCCATGTCTGGGTCTATTAGTCGAGATCAGAGTAGGGTGACTGTTTCAATTTCTACAGGGAGAAACCAGGCTATCCATCTGGTTATGCAGATCACAGCGCTGCACCATTTAAATAATAATTAGCTAAAGTGGCCCGTGGGGATATTTACGTTTTTGTAAGCCGTGTCCTCCCGGTGAGGTGGGGTGGAGCTGGAGAGAGGCAAGCTGGAACGAGGAGACGCAGGTAGGCTGGGGGAGTCCTGCATGGGGTCAGAGGAGGATCCAGGGGAGGTGCTGGGATACATGGCGCTGCTCCCTCTGTCCTTCCCTCTTTCCTCCCCGGTGCTGCCGCTCATAGCAGGCAAGTACAGGCTGCTTTGAGTCTGTGGCGGCCTGCTTGTAAAACTCCCTTCCTCCTCTTCGTCTTCCTGCTTTGAGGACTCCACATCAACTTCCCCCTCTTCTTCACTCTCTCCTCCCTCTGCCTCCCCATCACCTCCACTTTCACTGCCATAACTGCAGTTGCTGGTAGGCGACAGCCGGTGGTTTCTGTCCGACCCAGTGACCACAACTCCAAAGTCCTCATCTGTGGCCCCAACGACTCCTCCACTGTTGCTGTGGAGCTTGGCGATGCTTTCAGCATCTTTGACAACTGGGCGGAAGGCAGAGCCGTAGCTCGGCTTTCTGGTTTGAAGAGCCGGGTTGTCCAAAAGTTTGAGCCATCCTTCTGATGTCACTGGGCGAAGATCCGGAGTAGGCGTTGTGCATTCTGGGTCAAACATCCCAGATCTTGGTGTGGTGGCTCCATTGCTGGGGGGCATTGTTGAGCTGACACCGTTTCCACTTACAGCTCCAGCTTCACTGGGGTCTGAGAGATCCAGGAAGGCCTGCCTGAGAGAAGGGTTTTCTGTCAGGGAGGAGAGGGTGCTGGGCTGAGGCTGGAGATACGTAGGGACAGGAATCCCCCCGGCTACTCTCGGTGGCCAAAACATGCAAAAAGGAGGATAAAAAGCATCTTTTCGGCTGGGCCACAAAAGACCAGACAGCCCTGCACCTTTCTGCACAGCCGAAACATCGCTGTCCTCCTTTTTCTGCTGACAGAGGCCAAAGGTCGGGAAGGGATACGGGGCAGGGAAGAGAGATGTGGTGGGGAACTTCTGCAACATGTTGAAGCCTTTGCTTGGGACTGGGATGACGGGGTAACTGCGTGGCGTTTTGCAGGGAGAAAGACTGCCTCCCTCCAGATCGTCCTCGTCCTCAAAGCGCCCTCGTTTCTGAGCACCCAGGTCAGGGCCCATCATGTGAGGCACCACCGAACCAGAGAGGCTCTTCATAGAATTGATGGAGGAGCAGTGTGCTGAAGAGGGTAGCGCTCGTTTTCGACTGCCTCCGTTAAACATAGCTTTGACGTCCTCCCAAGCATATATCAGCTCATCAGGGGGGTGCTTGTCGCTCAGTTTCAGGTGTCGTCTCCAGGAGTTGAAGTTGGCAGCGTCGGGCTGGGTGTACTTGGCGTCTGGTGTGCGGTGGGAATGGAAGATAAACTTATTTGGGGAGAAGTACATGTTGCAGAAGGAGCACTTGATGCATTTGGCTCTTGAGCTGTTGTAGCGTGCTGGTATGAAGTTGCCACGGCAACCCCAAGCACACTCGTGTGTTACATCAAAGGCAAAGTTGTCGGGCAGCTTCGGCGGAGCGTTCTCTCCCAGGAAAGACTTGCACAGGCGCTCGGCTTCACGTTTAGTGATCATGCCGCAGCGGCGTGAGGAGATGGGCATGGCGCCGGCCCTGCGGAGGATCTCCAGCTGAACAGGAGTGCACTGGACACAGGTGATGCCCAGCGCCACGCGCCGATTATGGATCTCATTGTAGCTGTAGTTCTTGAGGAGTGTGTTGGAAATCTGTGCCAAACAAAGCCTCTCGTTGTTATCGATGACTAGGGATACAATGGGAACGCCGTACAGGATGACCTGACCGACCTGGTTGGGTTTGAGGGGTGAGGAGGAAGAGGAGGGAGAGGGTGATGATAAAGAAGAGGATGAGGAGTGAATGTGGGCTGGCCTGGGAGGGGAGAGAGGCTCTTGTTGATACGATCCTGTTGAGTTTGTCATTATTATGTCGTTGGAGCTTGAAAGGTGAGCCTTGTCCATTTTTGGAAGAAAGTTGTTACAGAACAACCTGTTTAAAAGAAAAGAATGAAATAAACCTAATGTTCATGTTCTTAATGTAAAAATCTAACAAACAGACATTCCTTTACTACCGTAACACATATTTCAATTCGTAAAAGGGACAATAGACGAAAAGAGGAAATTAAAGAAATTAATGTACAAATTATTATTTCATTCAGTTTTTTTTACTAAAAGTCTAAATTTAAAATAAATACACAAAACTTCAGCTGAAAATAACACACAGCTTATGTTTTTCTTCTGATTCTACTTTATCTTAAATGTTTTATATTTTAAAAGTGAATAATTACAGTTGTTGAGGATGAGAGATTATTAATAAATGCACAGTTCAATACGATTTTTTCATTTTCAGTATGATTTAAGTGCAACTTTTAATATCAGAATTTAGCTTTGTTTTAATTCAACTTGAACATCACAGCTCTGTGTTTGTCCTGTCTTTGGTTTGATGATGAGAGAAATACACTTATTTAAAAATCACTGTTACAAAGGAAAAGAATATCACTTTGTACATTTATTTACCGAATTATTTTACAAGTTGGAATGATTTTATTAAAATAAAATATAATATAAGATTTTCTTTAAACATCAATGCAAATCATAAATTACTTAATGATAAGAATTGCAGAGTCAATGACTTTGTTAATATATTTTTTCAATCTAACCTCTGCAGAAAGCTTTCTTGTTTGCTCCACTCCTGAATTCTTTATTTACAGTTATTGGTTTTATGTACAAAGATGCAAAAATAAATAAATAAATAAAAAGAAAGAAAAAACACCATCCAATAAGTCTAACCTTGTCATAGCAGTAAAATCTGTAAACATCCGCAAGCTGGTTGACATAAAAATATCCTACAAAAAATGTATATTGATCTTTAATAAAGAGAACTGCTATTGTTTTTAATGGTTGGAGAAAATCAGTGAATAAAAACACAGAATTATTAGGAAAGTTTAAACCTTATTATTATAGTAATGCTGTGCTGAAATAAGCAGCTACCAAGCAGTAAAATATTAAAGAAGCTTGGCTTGCAGTGAGACAATTCAGCACTTAGGTTGTTATTTCTATTTATTATATATATATTCTTTATTAATAATTAACATTTATATTAGTTTATATTTGTTTAACACAGTGTTAAGGGTTACGAACTGATGAACTTTTCAGGTTGACTAGAAGATTTTATTATTATTATTATTATTATTATTATTATTATTATTATTATTATTATTATATTATCATTATTATTATTAATTATTATTATTATTATAACATGTGACTGATTCATGTCAAATGGTTGGCAAAGACAAAAATAAATTTTCTTTGTTCTTTTCTATTTTAACTTGAAAAATTTACTTTGCTCGTACCACGTTTCCGGTTGTTTTACATCATCAGACTGTTTCGTGTAACTTCGACTGAAAGTATTCTACAGAGCGCTCCTTACCTCTGAGTTTTGGAGGATATTTCCAAAACGCGTCAAGCTGAACTCTCCCCGCGTCACCACACAACCCGACTTCCGCGCAGCTTTAAGAAACTCATTGTTTCACGCTTAAATAAACTCGGTTAAATCCAGAAAACTCGCTGTTAGGGTGTCTATTCTCTAACTGAGAAGCGATCTCCGCTCGTGAGATGTGAGTAAACTGCGCCTCTCGCGCCAGTTTTATTCCCCATTCAGAAGCGCCACGCGCCGTCCTAATCCGACTCCTCTCTCTCTCTCTCTCTCTCTCTCTCTCTCTCTCTCTCTCTCTCTCTCTCTCTCTCCCTCTCTACTACTATCATCTGTCTCTCGACCATGCACCTGCCTTGAGCTTGATTGGTGTGTCGCGTGAGTTCATCCCACCAGCCAGGACACACACGCGAGCGTACTCACACTTTCGTCCATGCGCACTTTCACTTGGTCCCATTTGTGACCCTGGTCCGAGAAAACTGATGAAGTCTCTTAAACTGTCGCTCCAACGCTATAGTCAAATGACGAATGCGCATGCGCATAGACTCAACTTTAAATGGATTGCTAATTTATTGACGACACTTCATGCAATTTCACCCACCACGTGACCAATTTATTATTATTGTTATTATGAAAATATGAAACAAATTTACCCCCCCCCCCCCAAAAAAAATCTATTAATTAAATTATGCAATCCATTCAGAGGAAGAGTCCGACATCCGACATGAGACTTTGAAACACGCAGACACACACACACACACACACACACACACACACACACACACACACACACACACACACACACACACACACACACACACACACACACACACACACACACACGGTTTGTATAGTTTAGCTGCTGAGGAAAGTGGGGACATAAAAGCTGAGACAGCAGACAGACACAGGGAGGCAGGCAGGTAGTCTGGGGATCCGAATCATGCTGTCAGAGCAGCTGATACCCATTCACCGCTGAGAAGGCTTTCCGAAACACGACTCTCAGCGCGTGCAGGTTGTTCCCAAGGGACGCACGGCAGCAGGAAGCACGCTGTAGCCTATGGGCTATCATCTGTTGTAATTGAAGGTAAGAGGAGCTCAAAACTAGCACAGTGTGCTATAAAAGGCTGTAGTCCAGAATATGGGTGGTGGTGGGCGGTGTTCTGGATTAGAACTTTTCCAAAGGTTCTGTTCCAGTGTGGAAGCCACAGCTGACTCACAAATAAAACAAAACGAATAATTATGACTTTTAAAGTTTATTTCATGCAGGGCATTCATCGCTTTTGTCCAAAGCCACTTACAAGTGCTTTGTATCAGCAATATATATATATATATATATATATATATATATATATATATATATATATATATATATATATATATATATATATATATATATATATATATATTAAATTGAATTGTATTATCAATATTAATAATATAATAATAATAATAATAATAATAATAATAATAATAATAATAATAATTATTATTATTATTATTATTATTTAAGTATTTTAGTCTGTTATTTGGGGGTAACTGCACACATGGGGAAATTCCAGAATGTCCTCGTTCATTTAGACAAAGTTGTTCTCAGGACACATTCTTCTGCATTCTGGTATACGGATATCACTGAAAAGAAAGCATTCAAACTTTTAAAACAAGCCGATCGTGCCTTGCAGCTGCACGAAAGATAAATAGTCACTTTCTTCACGTTTTGAAATGTTTTATCAGGAAACGTAATGCATTAAGTTGTAAACTTAATGCATTAAGTTTATTATTTAGTATAGTATTAAGTTTATAACGTAAATGTATCCATATACATTTACGCTTAGGAAAACTTTATTTCTTTAATTCGCACAATAAGTTTCCTGATTAAAGATTAAACCATTAATGACGCCATAAAACTAAAAGGATCAAATGAATTAAATGACTATTGATAAAGAAGGACCTTGGACAGAAGGAAAAACCAAATTTTTGCTCCAAATAACGCTTAAAAATTACAACATTTTCTTCTTTTTTATATTTTATCTACAAAAAATGACATTCAGCTCAAAAACAATCTCTACTATTGAGATTGACGTAATTTATTTCAAGCCTTTACAGCATTTTTTTTTTTGGGGGGGGGGCATATTAAAACGGGATTTCTTTTAGTCTCAGTCTGTGCGTGCGTCGCAGAAGACAGCGCGAGCCCCATCTGCTTCTTTTCAAACCAATTTAGGCAGTCACCGCACGTGCCTTTGTCTCGTGGACGAACGCCACGGGAACACTCAAGTACGGGAACTGGAGGAGGCACTCACGGGCCTCTGGTGACGTCATGTTTAATATTGATATGGAAAATAAAACAGACACACAGGTTTAACATCTTAGACAGTTTCCTCTTTTTAATTATTTATGTAGTTGTCACCTCAGACTTAAATTATAATTATGAATTTCTTCTTACTGCGGAGCCGATTTTGGGGGCATCAATATGAAACAAGTTTTGCGTCTCGGAGAAAGACCTTCCTAAAGCTGAGCATCATGCACGACTAAACCACACGAAGCAGGAAAATGGGCTTTATTGGAATACAATGTCACTATTAGTCCCGTTGGAATACATATCACTTTCTTCATAATGCATTAGCCGCTCACCCTACTGAGAAATTAATCATGCGTTAAAAAAAGAATTGCTTGCGTGACCTCAGAGGGTCAGAGAGAGAGAGAGAGAGAGAGGGAGAGAGAGAGAGAGAGAGAGAGAGAGAGAGAGAGAGAGGAGAGGGAGAGAGAGGGGGGGAGAGAGAGAGAGAGAGAGAGAGAGAGAGAGAGAGAGAGAGAGAGAGAGAGAGAGAGAGAGAGAGAGAGAGAGAGAGAGAGAGAGAGGAGAGAGAGAGAGAGAGAGGGAGAGAGAGGGGGGGAGAGAGAGAGAGAGAGAGAGAGAGAGAGAGAGAGAGAGAGAGAGAGAGAGAGAGAGAGAGAGAGAGAGACCTAAAACATAAATTAAGAGGTAAGGCTAAGTGAGCCTGAGATATTTAGCATAGCATCTGTCAATAAATGACGTACGCCCCGGGCGCGTAATTACCATATTAAAATGTTTTAAATCATTTTGTGGAAAAAGCAGAAATCTATTTTCTTTTTGATATAACAATAAAAAATAAAATAAAATAAAAAACGTAATCAGAAACATTTAATCACAGCATCTTCAGACATAAACCCAGACTTTTGGTTGATTTCTTGCGTATTAAATTAGATTTAATGGTCAAACAACTTAGTCCAGATTTAAATGCACGTATGACGCAGCTTTAACGAAGAATCTCTGCGCATTATCATTAACACAGATATTATTTTATTTAGAAATAATCTAACATTTTAAAGATCCTGCGGATAAAGCTCTGTGGTTTGGAGGGATGCGCGCGCGCGCGTGTGCCAACCCCCACCTCCGTGCCAACAAAGGTGCGGGTCATTACTTTCTCCTGCTTCATGGAAGCATCACTACATTATCGCGCTAAAAAAATGCAGAAACATTATTGGTCTATTTACAGTATTAGTCCTGCCATGTCACAGCCTATTAAGCTGCGTTATTGTACTGTATGGTCCGTCGTGTTAAATCAGGGTGTCTGCTTTTCCTTTTCTCTTTTTAGGTCTCCTCTGTTTATCAGAGGTGCAATCTAATTAAGCTTTATGCGTCCTAATGTGGTTTTTATAGAGTCCATGCAGCAAGACGGTTTCAGCCCCGCGGATCCTGTCCTCTGGTCGCTGGATGGGATTTTCCTCGAGGCGCTCAGTTAGAGCAAGATTCAGATGTTCTAGGATCTGGAGCATTAAACGATTTTAGTATGTCTTGAAAAGACGGGTGATGGAAGCAGATTTAAAAAAATGTAAGTTTTTTAAATTCTGGAGTGTTTTTCATCAGTCATAGAGTATTATTTTATAGTTAAGCTCAGATATGATAGGTTCCACTGTAGTAATTACTGTGGGGTTTCTCCTACATAAACTAAATAAACATCATTAACCACTTCAGCTATTTTACTGCATATATTGATGATAAACTTGCACTGACTAGCCTACCAACCCTTAAAATGCCACCAGATGGCTGTGTTTTTGTGACATAATAATAATAATAATAATAATAATAATAATAATAATAATAATAATAATAATAATAATAATAATAATAATAATAATAATAATGTTTCCTTTCATTTCAACATTCAAGTCAATGTCTACCTTAGTTTTTTTTTTAAAGAATGACATTTGAAATGTTTTCTTTTATTTGGGCACATAAATTCATAAAAGTGTTTGTTGATAAAAGGACGGACAACCAAGTCCTTCAGCGGTACTTCTGAGTTAAAAAATAATCATGAAATACATATGTGGAGTAACCAGGTATAGGTTTTAACATTGCAAATCTGCAACGCCTGCCTCCAGAGGGTTAAAGTCCACATCAGAAGAAAACTCTTGCAGACATTTCTGCAAGATTGAGACCGATGCAGGTTAATTGTAGAGTGCAAACTGTAAGACCAACGAATAAAAGTACTCATTTTGGACACATTTTTTTAATTTAATTGACAAAACTGACTAAACTCCAGATGGTCTTTCTTCTTAAACAAACAGAGACAAACATGATCTCAGAGCAATAAAACAATAAACTGTCAGTCTTATGCATCCAAGAGATGTCTTTTATTATTTTGCTGTAAAGCTTTTTGATCTTCATCTATACCAGTTTTTACTGTGGTCTGTGTCGATGGTAGTTTACCTCAGTTTTCTCACCTAGTTCACCATGAAAGCAGATGGATGTTGTCATAATTCACACACATTCAAACACATATGAACAGTTGTTGCGATCCAGGCTGTCTAGGGGGGGCCCGGGGTAACAAGGAGAACACATACTCAGGTGTTTAAAAGTTAACTTAAACAAATTTATTTACACCAAGGAAAATAAATAAACACAACTGGACTAATCGGCGGCAACTAAATAGTAAAACTAAATACTCTATTAGCCAATATAACTACAAATCAGGGAACCCTCTGCACACACAAGAACATTAATGTTAAAATCAGGGAAACCTCTGCACATAAAAAAAATGGCTAAAAGAGATTAAAACAAAAGCACGCTGAGGAGCCAACAGGACAGAGACCACATGTCCAGCCTGTTGCTCCCTGATGATGAGGGCTGGGTGGCTTTTATGCAGTGAGTCCTCATTCAACTGCTGACCAGCTTGGACTTCAGTGTAGAGCCGGACAGGTGTGCGAGAAGCCAGGTGCTGCA